AGATTAAATGAACATCATTATCATTAGTAAGAATAGATGTATTTGAACGAATCATGTTTAGTGTATTTAATCAAAAAACATCAGCATCGTTATTGAACTTCATATAATTATTGTGTATAATATTAGATATAGGGGAGATGTTTTATTGATACGATTATTAGAAGGATGACAATATGTAGTATTTAAATGTAAACAAGAATAAGAATCAGATGCTTTATTTGAACTATCCAATTTGTCTAATGTGCTATAATAAAAGTTCATAAAATCCAGTCATCTCATCTAACGTGTTATCAATACTATTATTTACAATCAATGCAAAAGGTTTACATCTAGTATTCATATCATTTTCATTAATCTGACTTCTATCTTAGGAGGTAAAGGAGTAAGATAAGATATTAATAATATTTAAATGATATTATTAAAAGATGATTTAGTTATTCTCTAAAAGATCATCATCATTGTCACTTATTTCTAGAAGTTTATTAATTAAAGTATCAGCACTTGATCCTTGAATTATGTCATTATTTGCATATTTCTTTTGATTATATTTAGAGATAGTCATTGGAACTATCACAGCTTTATGTTTAGCATTAGTCTTTGGAGTTAATGCTAATTTTGTTGATCTTTATCATTTATAGGTTCGTCATCTTCAACAACAGGCTCTTTTTTTTTGATCTCATTTTTTAACAATTTTTTGATTAGATTCGCTTCTTGTTTTTAATTTTCTTTTGAAACTAAATTTATAATCATCTGATATATATATACATATATTTATTATAATAACAGTTAAAGATATAGAGTTATTATCACCAACTTTAACTTCATCAACAGGGATAACATTTTGTTTTATTTTTTAGCTTCAGGTAATATTTTTTTTAGAAGCATGATAGCAATAACTTTAAAGAGTTATAAAATTAAAAAATTGTAGTGAATAAAGAAAAATAAAGAAAAATAAAGAATTTATAAAAATAAAAAAATGTTTTTTCTTTAAATAAAACAAACTTTATTGTATTGCATTATTATAGCGAAGTATATTATTGTTATATAAATTGGACTATATATAAACTATTATTATATTGTTATAGCATAGTATAGAGCAAATCGAATTATATAGTAAAAAAAATCATCAGCTATCTAAATTTCTAATATGACGTTATATTTATATAAAATTGATATGCATTTAATATATTTAACATATTTTTTAAATAATTTATTAATCTTCTTCAGCCTCCGATTAAACTGATTGATAATAATCAGACATATAATACATTAAAAGAAAGAAACCAAAAGGATTTTAATCTTTGATTAACCTATACAACAAGTTCTTTATATTTTTTAAAAATAAATCTTTTTTAAATTTACAATATGATGTTATATTATGTAAATTTGATATATTTAATTTTTTTTTTGATAATTTATCAATTTTCTCCTGCCTCTAAATAACTGATCGAATTGATATTTTTAATAATTAGATTTATTTAATATGATTTTAACAATATATTACTTTCGACTAAACTATATAAGTTACTTTATACTTTTTTTCTTTAGAAATTATATGACATTTCTTTTAATTTTTATTTTCTTTGAGAAAATTTTTTGAGACAGATATGTTTCTAATAATAGTCAATGTAGTTACATTAAACAATGATACAACTTGTTTAACATATCTTCATTATTAAATGAAAGAAAAAGAAGAATAGAACAAATGGCAGTAAATATTGATCATTATCATATTATAATACATATATATCTTTTCTAATAACCTTTTATATTCTTCTAGAAAATACAACTACTATTAGAACTAATCATATTATAGATATTTATGACAATGAAAAATGGCACCAGATATTGATATAAAAAATGAAGAATTAAAAGATGATGAAAATGAAGCAAGCAATGATGAAATGAAGCAAGCGATGACGAAAATGAAGTAAGTGATGATAAAAATGAAGTAAATAATAATGAAAATGAAGCAAGTGAAGATGATATAGAAATCAAAAGTGAATATGAAAGAACGATGATAGATTTAAATGAAAGTGACAGGAATGAAGATGACTCAAATGAAGAAGTAATCATTGATCAACCTCTCAATAATTAATAAATGCCACGTTTTTTTGGTGAATTCGTCCTATATTTCAAGAATATCACAGAATCTTTCGTTTTTTAGATGCAAATATATCATATATATAAGTTTTATCCTTTTGAAACTTATAAATGATAACAAACTAACAGTAACTAACAGTGATTATTTATTAGCTATCCAAGCATATAATGAACTAGTGGATATTATCTGTCACCTACAGTTCAGGAGCAAAGACATTGTATTAAATAGCTGATGATTTAGAAAGTATAGATAGAACTTGCCTTTACTTCTAATAAAATCTCACAAAATTAATATATCTAGCAAGAAAATATTGTCAATGTCTAAAAATATTAAAGAATCATATTATTTGTCTATTACAAATATTATTTGTCATATTTTAAATAATCCTTCATTATTTAGCAAAATATACTTTAGATCAGAACAAGAAGTCATAAAAAGTAAAGAACTTTGGCATAGAAATATCTGGAAAGAGTCAGTAAGATTTGGATAAGCATCTATTAAAATTGCCTAAAATATTATTATACTGAAGATTTTGTAATATATAGAGAATTAAGGAAAATAAAAAAATTTGGTCGTATATTAGCAATTATACAATAAGACAACTGGCTAAAGATTAAGATTTAATGCATTTTAGACTTTGAAGAGTTGTTAGAAAATCTACAAAGTAATAGTCAAAAATAAAGATCGCAATATGAAGTTTGATTTTTAAATCGAGAAATAGATAATACAACCTTAATGTTGAATTATAAGCAATTAATAAATGCGTATCAATTGATATTTTTTATGATAACATTGTAAATAATCCTAATTCCATTAAAATTAGAGAAATTCTCTATAAACATAACAGTTACTGGAAGTTAAAAGATGTCAACTATATATACCAACATCTTTAGAGTTCACAGCATTAAAAGAACTATGAATACATTTTCCAATATACAAGTTATTCATTGATATATACTATGATAACTTTAGGACATTTTGTAATATCTATCATTCATTAGGCGGTATTTACATCTAAATAGAAAATATGCCACTTAGTGAAAGAATCTATCTTAAGAACTATTTCATATTAGGATTTATTCCTTTTGGTAGTTCTTTCGATGATTTATCAAACCATTTATCAAAAAATAAAAGCATTAGAAAAAGGAAGGATTATGAATATACAAGGAAATGAATGCATTATTATTGCGAGCCTTAGTGAAATTACTGCAGATTTACTACAAGGCAATGATATAGTTAGGTAAAGTAACATGGTGAAGTACAACTAAAGATTCTTTAACATCTGAGAGTCTTGATATACAATTATTCTCTCATTATCATCATCAATCAGATATACAATTTAAAGAAATATCAGAAGCACCAACAATTATAAAACATAAAGCTATTGTGGCTGAATATAGGCTAAAACTACATCCACCAATCCTCAACTAATTGAAAAGGAATAGACATTTATAGTCTTCATAAGACTTTTATCACCTTATAGCCAGAAAAGTACTAAGATTTCTCAAGATTACAATTAAAGCACTTTTGCCAGAAGGAAAAACTAAATTTATGAAAGTTTGAAAGTCTTTCAAATACTTGAAGACTTGGTAAAAATTATTAAATCTAATATCTTACATTGAAAGTTTTATGATATCAGATTGTTTACAATTAACCATAATGTTTCCATTTATTTTTAAAATATACTTACTTTAAAAATTCCAAAACTTGTTTTGTTTCAATGTCAGATAGGGTTACCTGAAGCAATCATGCTGTAAAACATTGGTTGAAATGCTGGATAGTAATGGCAAAAATGATGATAATAGTATTTAAAGACTCCTTTATAAATGAAGAATATAATGAATTACGTAATTCACTGGTTGAAGTGATGTAATATATTATACGTTTACAACCAAGAAACTTCATATCCATGGCCCATTTCTTATTAATTTATCAGACATTTCATCAAAAGTCAAATAAAATGTATTCTATAAAAATGCTTTGAAAACTTGTCCAATTTCCGTAAAATGTACAAATGCTAGTATCATCTAGATAATTGATATATAATTGTATGAAACTTTATTATTAAAAGTTGTATATTAGATCAAATATTACTTATAAGTATTTTACACTTGTATGAAACTTCATTATTAAAAGTTGTATATCAGAATAGATGTTGTTTATATGTTTTTAATTCATGCAATTTATTAGTCTGAAAACTTATTATCAGGAGTTATACATTATAAAGAAATAATAGCGAAATTCTTTTTATATTTGTGTAAATATCATAGATAATAAAATAAAATTATAATGATACATTACAGTAAATATAGCATATGATTCTTGTATATATTAAATAAATATAATATGTAAATTACGCAAATCTCTTATTCTAATACACAGAGAATATTAGAAATTAATTTTTAAATTACAATAGACGCAAATAAAAAAATATACTTACTATTCTCATAAGAAATGACCGCAGCTTTAGTCCTAGAGTAGGTAGTTTAAAAAAGTTAGGCTACATTTAATTTACTTCATTTTGTTGATTTCAGTACAGGTTCTGTTGATTCTTGATTATTTTCTGCATCTTTTAATAGAACCTGTTGCTTCTTAATATTGTTACTTTGTTTTTATTAGGTCCTGCTGATTTTTGGTTAATTATTACATCTTCTGATAAAACTTTATGCTCTTTGGATTCAATGCTTATATCATTACTTTGTTTTTCAAAGTTATTATTCAATTTAACTTGACTGGATATGGATGACAATCAATTATGAGTATTATTTGAATCTGTTAATCCATAATTGAATGTTTCCACAGGTTGTGAATCAATAATAAGGTCATTTGTCATCTATAAGCATAAAAATTATGAGAATAAACAAATAAACATTTGTAAGTATTGAATCAATATTACCTAATCATCATTTTTCAATGAGAGGAATTGTTCGAAATTTATGTTTTGATTATCAAGATCAGCAAATGATTTTATTAAATCATTATCATCTTCAATATTTATGTGAAATATAAATAATTATTAATTTGTATCTTAAATTAAATGAATAAATAATAATAGATATTTACCTGCAAGTCTATGTGATGAAGTTTGTTTAGAATTGATATTTGTTTTAAAAGTTGTAGGCACAAATCTTGAATTAGATACATCTTGAAATACATAATCATCTTCAGAATCTGGATCAACTGCATTAGAAAGAATAGTATTTAGATTATATGGTTTAATGACCCATTGTAAAAAGTCTGGTGATATTAGACAGGCTGGAATAAATGACGATAATTAATAGAATCTAGTTTTATTTGGATATATTGAAATATATTGATGAGGGTTTATTGTTCTACCACTAGAACCCTAGTGTAATTTTACTTGACATTGTTGTTTAACTTTTCATTGATAATTCCATGCACTCTTATAGCCTAAAATTAAAAAATCATACAGATTTCTTATATTTTTAATAAAATTAAAATTACAATTTGATAAGCATAATACTTCATCACTACGCCAAAGGATAGAAGGAACATAATAAATTTCTTCTGATATTGATTGTTTATTATTAGCAATTTGTGATCCTTCAGATTCAGCTTTATCTTTACTAATCTCAGGTGATATTAATTCTCATACAAATAATGCTTTGATTTCTCTAATCAGATACCCTAATATTTCTGAACCAAATGCATCAATAGCATATATTCGTATATTAAATTTTTATAAAAAATGAATATTAATACTTCATTGATCAATATATAATAAAAATTCTACTCAAATTTGATTTTATTACGCACCTTCAAAATTCTATTATCACATCAATTATTAGTTTTTATAGCCTTTGATTTTACTGGTGAGGCTTTTAATACATTACGTCTTGTTCCAAAGTAAGTATTACATATTTGTCAAATTAACTCTTCTGACCATATTTCACATTTTTCTATAAAAAAAATTAAATAAATCGATATAAAAAATAAATAATCAATATTTATACTTACTAAAGTTATCACCCTGGGATTCGTATTTTTTCATATAAAATAATAAATATGCTTAAGGATTTTTTGATTAGCTTTATTGGTAAAAGATTTAGAATAATTGAAAGCAAATTTGCTTTTAATCAAATCATTGGAATCTTCATCATCTAGCTCATTTTTTTTCATTTTATTTTGAATTAAAGTGACTAAAGTAAAAGTTGAGTCATATAGACTTATTTTAAAACTATTAGTATATTCATTTGTTTTGTTTGCTCAACTACCATAGTCATATGATTTTCTAGTTTAACTAAAAAATCATTCAAACTATCTTCTTGAGTTATCTTTAACTGCTCGATAAATTTGTTAATAAATTCTATTTGCCACTCAACAAATTTTTGTTGATTTTGTATTAATATTGCTAAATTAGAAATGTTTTTATAAACCCCTTTCAATTCAGGTTTATTTTTATTAGTTATTGTATTAAGACTTGTTGACATTACAAATATTATTTCTCTATTGTTGATATTGAATTGGTTCATATTTCTAAAGAACGTAAACTATTGGATATATTAAAAAGAAAAGTTGTTGCATTCATTTTATAAATTATATTTTTTTTTCAAATTGTGAAAAAAAAAAAAATATTTGTATTTTTTTTTCAGATCGTGAGAAGAAAAAAAATTATTTGTACTTTTTTTTCAGATTGTGAAAAGAAAAAAATTTTTTTTTCAAATCGTGAGAAAAAAAATAAGATCACAAGATAAAAAGTATATTTATATTAAAATAGTCTTTTATATTATCATATGTTAAAGTTTAATACAATACAAAGTAAAATCTACAATATAAAATAACAATAAAGTTTCAAACATTATTTGATTACATCATAATCATAAGCTTTTGCATTAATTAATTTTTTATAAATAAATACATTTTTTTAATTTTTTTTTATAACAATTTTAATTAAATTCTTGTTTAATTATTGAATCACAAAAATTTATTATGAATACTCGACTATACTATTGCAAGAAGTGTAAGAATACAGTTGTATCAAAAAAGATATTTCAACGATACTTAATAAATGAAGAAAATCTTCAATATAATTCTTATATCAAACTTAAGCAAAAAACTACAGAAAAAAATAATTATGAACATTTCGATATTTATTCAAATCAATTATCACATACTTTGCTTTTATTAAATAAATCTACAATTCTATCTAATAATGAAATAATTATTCCACATAATACAAAAAAAACAAAACTGTTCCTTTAATATCTATTCAAAAAAGTGATTTGTTTAATACATCAGATTCTTCAGAAATTGATTTTGAATATGATGAAAATTTTATTGAAATGATAACAAATTATACAACTGTTAGTAAGAAGCATCAAAATTATTCTAATGAAATTGGTTCAGATCATTCAGATCATGAGAGTTCAGATGAAGAACATTATATAATTAAAACTAATTATGATCCTATTAATATTGATCATAACCCTTCAATTCTTAATATAAACGAAACAACAAGATAAGCAATTTTATGGATTTATCTTTTTCAAGAAACATTTATGTTATACAAACTGCAAATGCTATATTACTAGATTTTTTTAAAAAATTGTTACAATCATTTGATAAAGAAACATTTTTCAATTTTCTATCAACTATATATTATGCTGATCAATCACTTAGGATTAAACTGGAATATGAAAATTATATTATTTGTCTTCGATGTCATCATTTTTATTCAATAAATATTCTTAATAATCAAGATAAATGTATTAAATGTGTATGCAATGAACTAATTACAAAAATAATATGAATATTTAAAAAAAATAAATTAATTAAAATTAAGTTAATAATTTTATAAAAATTTTAAAAATTACTATTATTTTATTAATTAAAAATTTAACTAATGTTTAACATAATTTATAATAGCCAATCAAAATTTATCCATATAATTTAGTAATTCATCAATTAGGAATACTTTTATTAAAGCCAAAAATGGAAGATTTAATAGAATCTTAGAAGTTCATATTAGATTTGCTTTAAATTTGGATTGGTTTAATCCTTGTAAGCATATCCAATGTTCTGTTAGAGTAATATACTTAACAATATTGAATTTACTACGCTATATATGATTTTGTGAAGAAAATACTTTTGTTATTAAAATAATACCTGATTCTCATAAGCTAGATGTAAACGAAATACATTAATATATCGAACCTTTAGTTAATTAGCTTCTTCAATTATGGACTGGACAAGTTATAAAATTACCTAACTATCCAATTGGTAGAATTTATTGTGCAGCTTTAATTATGATTTCGTGTAATATTCCTGCAGCACAAAAGGTAATAACATTTTTAAATTTAATATTTTCATTATGTATAATAATTATTTATTTAATTATATTTATTTTAAGATCGGAGGATTTTAAAGTCATTCTGCTATAGATGTGATCATACTTTTCTTATGATTCAAAATAATAATACAAGTTATTAAAAACCAAATTTTAGCAACTTTAATACTGATCTTTCACAACATTCAAGAGAAAAGCATCAAAATATTGCCTACAATTTTAAGAAATCAAATTCTATAACCTGTAATCAAATTTTTGCTGAACATGGTGTTCGTTAGACATCCTTAATATTATTTTCTTATATGGATATTCAGCGGTTTACTATTATAGATCTTATGCATAATTTATATTTAGGTACTGTAAAATGATTAATGAAAAAATGGACTTCCAGAGATCAACCATTAATTTCTATATATGACCTTAAAAGAATACAAAGCATAATTGATAATATATCTTCTCCATTAGACATAGGTCGAATATCTCTTAAAATAGTATCAAGATTTGCTGGATTTATAGCAGGTCAATAAAAATCCTGATGTTTAATTTATTCAACTTTGGTTTTACGAGATATTCTTTCTGAAGTCCATCAAAATTATTAGCAGTTATTTGTTAACTGTCTTTTACTTTGGAGACAAACTATAATCAGTTGCAAGGAAATAGAAGATGGGGATTTGGCAATGAAAGATTTTTTATATAAATTGGAAAATGTTTGGGAATCTAAAATTGCAATACCAAACATGCATATGCATTTGCATATTAAGAATTGTTTATTAAATTATGAACCCTTTTACAGTTTTTGGTGTTTTTCCTTTAAAAGACTTAATGGATAAGTAATGAATTATTATGAATATATACATTTAATTTTGATTTACTCAATTTATACTATAAATGCTATTATTTAAATATTTAGCATCAATTCCAAATTCAAGAAGAAGCTTCGCTACAGAAGTGATGAATGTTATTACTTGACAATTTATATTATAACGTATAATGTCGATTGTAAAATCTTTCTTTCCAAATCAAATTATTGAATCTTTTATGAAGCTATGATCATTTCAACAAGAAGATAAGGGAACAATGACAAGATAGAATTTTACTATTCAAGAAGCTTTGTATTTTAGAAACTTACCCTTTCAGATAATACAAACAAATATAACTGGTTGTGAGTTAATTCCTGGTGACTTTTAGCATCTACAGTAGTGGCGAAAAAAAATGGCAGTCACGATCATGTGATTAAAATAATGATTTACATCACATCTGATTGGACAACACAAACCAAATTTTTGTTTGGTTGTTTACTATGTTACACTGATCAATATGCATAAAAAAACTGAACACAAGAATATCTCATAGCCGATATGATGTAATAATGCCGCAAAAATTTCTATTAAAGAACAATGTGAGGTAGTTAAGTCGTTGTGAAATAATGGAACACAAAATGTAAATGAAATACACAAAATTACCAAGTTCCCATTAAGGACACTATATTAGTAGTCATCACAGTTAAAAAAAACCAAAAATTTAAAACAATGATGTCGTTCAGGACGCTCAAAGGTTTTAAGTCCAAAAAAGCAGCGTCACCTTAGTCAGCTCGCTCGTTCGCATGCTGGTACAACAAGTTTTGAAATTGCAGATACTCTTAATAATACTTATCCAGGTTTTAATATAGCCACTTGCACAGTCTGTGAGAACCTTTGGAAGCTTGGCTACCAAGTTTGTGTTTCTAAAAAAACCCTATTCCTCACTTCAATTGCAAAAGAAAGACGAGTTTCTTGGGCAGAAGTTCATAAAAATAAAAATTGGGAAAATATGGTTTTTCTGATAAAATGACCTTTTAAATGTTCTGTAACACCACCTTAGTTCGTTATAAAGAGGGTAAAAAAATACCAACTTGTGGTTATCAAACACCCTTTCAAAGTTCATGTTTGGGGGGCTTTTTGTTTGCAAGAAATCGTTAGGTTTCACATATTTACTGAAAACATGAATGGGGAGTTATACTATGAAATTTTAACAAATAATCTTTTTGATCAAGCATATCAGCTTCTTGGAGGGTCCTGGACATTTCAACAGGA